ATAAGTAATTTACTTTATTAATAAAAATTTCTTAAATTTTAAGTATTTTTATAATGTTAAATTAATTAATATATAATTAATTTATTTTAAACTTAAGTTAATATTAAGTTAATATTATTTTTAAGCTTTACTTTATAAAAGAAATTTTATATCTTTTTAAATAAATTCTTTTTTTCTTATTAGCCTTAATTAATAAAAATTATATTATTCTTTTTTTTTATAATAATTAAAATAATTATATTTATAATAATTAAGTTAATTATATATAAAATATTTAACTTTACTTATTAAAACTATTATAATATTAATATTTATTACTTTATTATTTTAAAGTTAAGTATTATTTTTTCTTATTATAATATTAAAAATACCCTTATATTATTATAAAGCAAAGTAAAAAGCTTTAAATATATTTAATTACTTTTTATAATTAAGCTAAGCTTTTATTATAAAAATTAAGTTATTAATTATTAATAATATTTTATATTTATTTAATTAATTTTAAATCTTTATTATATAAGTTAATTAATTAAATTAAATAAGAAATTTTATTATTTCCTTTTTATAATATTATTATAATATAATTAAGCTAAGCTTAGCATACTTTTATTTAAAAGGGTTTTTAAATATAAAGTAAATTTTTTTTAAAAAGCTTTTTAATTACCTCTTAAATATTTTTATAAAATTAATTATAAAAAGTTCTTAGCTAATTAAATATATAAAAAAATTAAGCCCTTTTAATATTAATTACCTCTTTATTTATTATAAACTTAATTCTTATCTTTATTAATTAAGTTATTAAATATTTTTAAAATAAAAGTTCTTTAAAATAAAAAAGGGTTTAATAAGCTATTATTATTCTTTTTAAGTTTTATTATATTAAGTTTTATATAATTATATTATAAATTTATAATATAAAAGGACTTTAAATATATATTATAAGCTAACCTTAAGTTATTTATTATAAGATATTTAAATAAAGTTTATATTTAACATATAAAGGAAAAGATTTGCTTTTTATTTATATTTATATTAAAGCTTATTCTTATAAGGTTAAAGCTTATTAATTAATTATAATAAGCAAAGCTTAAACTATAATATAATTAAGCATTAATTAATTATAAATTATATAATAAATATATAATTTTAAGTTTTTAAATAAAAAAGCTTATATAAAAGCTTAAATTAAAAAATTATAAAAATATTATTAATTTAATTATTAACTTATATTTAAAAAATTATTTTTTATTAATTTACTTTAATTAATATATTAAATTATAAAGATTAAAAATATATTAATTATAAGAAATAAGCTAAGCTTTTAATATATTTAAAAATTTTTAAGATATAATTAAATAATTAAATAAAGAATAATATTTAATTTATAATTAAATTATAATATCTTTTATTTTTTATTATATAATTATTTTTTAAAACTTATTATAAAAACTTAAAGAAAAAAAATATATTATAATTTAAGCTTTATTTATTATAATTAATTAATAAGCTTTAATTTTATAAAAATAAGCTTTAATATAATATAAATAAGGAATAAATCTTTTTCTTTATACTTTAAATATAAACCTTATTTAAGTACTTTTTAGCAAATAACTTTAAGCTAGCTTATAATAAAATATAAATAAAAAGCGGATTTCTTTCTTTATACTTTAAATATAAACCTTATTTAAGCACCTTATAGCAAATAATTTAAGGTTAACTTATAATACTTTCTTTATAAAATATATATTTATTATAAATAAAGCTTTATTACCTTTTATATTTAAAATATTAAGTATATAATAATAATAATTTTTAATTATTCTTAAAAATTATAATAATTAATAATTTATAATAATAAAAAATATATAAATAAAAGAAAGAATTATTATTAAATAACTTAAAAGTATATTTATTTTTTAATTAATTATTATAAACCTTTTTAATTAATATTTACTTATAATTAATAAATATTATAACGTAGTTTATTAATAAGTAAAACATATTAATAAATAAAATATTTTTTAATTTTACTTAATTTTAATTAACCTTAATATTACCTTAAAGCTAATAAATAAATAAAAAGTTAATATTAATTAATATTAATTACTTTTAATCTTTTATTTTTAATTAATTTTTTAATTTAAAGTAATTAACGTAAATATAATATAAGTTTAAAATAAGTAACTTTTAATAAAAAACTTATATTTTATATTAAATAATATTAATTATATTATTATAAACATAATTTATTATAAATTATTAAAATAAATATATTTATATTAATTAATATTAATTAAATTAAATTTATTATAATATAATTAAAATTTAATTAATTAATTCTTTTTTTATCTTTTTTATAAGTTTTTATATTATATTTAATCTTATTATAATTATTATGTTATTATTTAATTAATTCGCTATAAATTACTTTCTTAATATTATTATTTATTTTATTAATTAATTGCTTTTCCTTTTATTTCTCTTAAATAAAAGCTTAAAATTCCTTAATTATAAATATTCTTTTAAGTTATACTTAAGTTTTTTTAACCCTTTAATATTTAATAAGTATTATATTAACCTTTTAAAATATATAAACTTATTTACTTATAAAAGTAATTAAATATATTATTACTTATGCTTTTTTTATTATTTAATAGCTTTTATAATTAATATATAAAAGCTTTCTTAATAAGTAAAGATTTTACTTTTAATAAAACTTAATTATTAAATAATTTATTAAGCATTTAATAATATTTAAAACTTTTATTTTTAAAAAGAGATTATATTAAAGTTTTTAACCATTGGGCAGTTGTCATCCCAGCAAGGTATAACTCGATTAGGATGTGTCTTGTGAATTTATCTTTGTGAATTATCTTCTGATAACGATATAGTTTCACAACCCTTGTGGCTATAATGCCGGAAAAGCAAGTCAGGGTGCTTCCTAAGTCTATGCAAAGATCCATGGTGAAAGGTTTGGGAAGATCTTGCTATAGTGAAGGACGGGGCAATGCCAAGCTTTCTGAACATGCATTGTGCACATGTGTTCCTTCTTGTCGTCGTTGGTGGCAAAGCGCTCATCACAGTTGATGAAATCACACTTATAACGTGGGTATTCAGGGTGTTTCTTGCATAAATGCTGCATTCTTAGCTTAGGAGCACTTCAAGAGCTGCTTTGCTTATTACAGCCTCGCTCAGGGCATTTAAAGATCTAACCCAATGGCTTAAACGGGACCCGTGGTGGCTCTTCTGTCTGTGTCTTCTTTCTGCGTTTCGCTGCGGGCAACACAATGTCAACAAAGTCCATAGTTGACGTTGCCGCATCAAATCTTAGGCGCTTGGACTTATGCACATGAGCGTTTGTCATGTGTTCTGGGTCTAAAGTTAACTTACTTTTCTGCCTAACTGCGGCTCCACCATTATGAAAACTCGCGTTCCAACAGTTTGAGAGTAGGTTAAGGGAGAGCTTTGAAGGGCATTTTGGCTTCTGTTAAGTTAGCTGTAGGCTTGTATGTAGGCTCTGGTACTTACCTACGATGGCCTTCATGGAAGCTTATTATATGTGTGTTGATGTATATGGGGCAAGTTTTTGGCGAGGTGCTTGTGAAGGATTGCTACGGTTTATGTAGGGACCATTTAAGACTATTTTAGTCTTTGCCATACAACTATCTCGCCGACTTTCTAGTTAACGGCGCCATTAGAAGTGATTCTCGCTAGCCTTATCTATGCGGCTGCCACAAGGCTTTTTAGCCTTGTGCCATACATTGTATTATTATATACTGCTATTAATCTTGTGTTTTTTTTTAAATTTTTTTTTTAAATGCTGGGTCTTTAAGCGTTTAGTACTGTATGGAGGGACTGTGTATAGCTTTGATGTATATGGATTGAGAACAAAACCACTTAAGGAAAAGGTTGGTATAGAAAAGTGCTGGAGCTCAATACATATCGACTGCACTTTGTGCGGATGTTGACTGCTGCTCCTATGATTTCTCTGAATTGATGGCCGGCCGAAGCAGTAACGCCCCGCTTTACGTGAACTCTCCCCCCACCAGCTCTCTGTTTTGGCTATGTCACTGCAAATCACAATGAACAGCTATCTAAAGTAAAGCTCTCGGAATAAGTAAAAGGTCTTGCTGGATTTAATATTACTTTATTCACTAAAGACGGCCTGTGCCTGGGTCTTGGCGCACAGTAATCCATCCTACCTAGACGCTCAGCTCAGGGTTTAATCACCCTCGTTTGCTCAGGGTAAAGCAGCGACAGCTCAGGCTTGGCGCTAAAATTGGATTGAGAAGCTAAGATTTGTTAGGTATAATTGTTGATATCATATATTAGTAAGATTAATCATCTTGTAACCACAATCCAGGACTCGGAGTACCTCTGTCCCTTGTCCGCCAGGAAGCCATGCATCTGGCCATGGGATAGGTCTAGTGTCGTCTGAGTCATTGTTGGCAATCTACACAGTAACTTGGCCCAGGATCCGGGCTGCCGGCACGTCCCAATGCCAGGCATGCTTACACGGGGCAAGTCTAACCGGGTCTAGCCATATTCAGTCAAGCTCGCTTTAGACTCACCCCCACCTCACTTTAGCACAGTTGTGTTCTGACCTCGTGGCTATTCCAGATTTAGGGGCAGCTCAACAAGAGGGGTGAATATACAGGTAGGTAGTGGGGGAAGGTGTCTATGCTTTGTTGCATGTGAAGTGTAGAGCCATCACCTTTGGCATTTTATGCACCAAACGCGGCGTTGTTTTGCTCGAGTCAGGGAAGGAAGCTTGGGAAACAGCTGTGAGCTGCAACGACGCGTTTGTCCTCCGCCCTGGCCCAATGACCGTTGGCACATTCAAGTGCTTTCATCCTTTCAACCATCCAGCTACGCGACAAAGCACCTCGGTCTGATCACACTTCCTTACACATCAAGCTCCCACCCCTTTCAGCTTCCGTCCCTCCTTCTCCCACTTTGCCCACTGCGACAACCACCTCCAAACACCCTCCGACACCGAGATGACAGACTACGCGAGCCTCAAGGTCCCTGACCTCAAGAAGTTGCTCCAAGAGCGCGGCCTTCAACAGTCGGGTAACAAGGCAGATCTCATCGCGCGACTGCAGGACAATGACAAGAGTACGTCAACCCTCCATACTACCACCTCTGTGCCTATCCTCAACCCTCTTGTTCGTGCGCCCACGGAACGTGCAAGCTGACCAGAAATCTGCGACTCCAGACCAGGCCGAGGACGTGATTGACTGGGACGACGATGACACTAAGATTGCCTCTGCCGCCACCAAGAAAGAAGAGCCCAAAGCTACCGCTCCTGCTGCTGCCAACGCAAAGACTGACACTGCCGCTGCTCCACCATCTGCGCCTGTCGAGGCGGAGCCCGCCAAATCAGTCACTGCCCCTGCTGTAGAAGCCCCTAGCAATGAGGCAAAGAAACAAGATGATGCCTCAAGTGCGCCTGCAGGGGCTGACACCTCTGCCCCAACCGAGGAGAAGCCCGCTGAACCCTCCCAGAGCTTTGCGATCGGCCTCGAGGCCAGCAATGCCGACGAGGAGCTCAAGAAGCGCGAGGCACGTGCCAAGCGCTTTGGCATTACCACTGATGCCGACTCTGAGGAAGCCAAGAAACTCGAACGAGCCAAGAAATTCGGCACCGACACCGCAGCAGTCGTCAAGGGTCTTGATGCGGCTCTGCCAGAGCGCCGCCCGAAGCGTGGTCGTGAGCAGGGCGACCAGGCCGAAGGTGGAGGGAAGAGACAAAACTCAGAACGGCGCAACGGAGGACACAACAAGCCTAGAGGCGGTCGCCGCGGCGGTGGTCGTCCCAACAGGCACGAGGGCGGCGGCGGCGGCGGAAGCAAGATACTTGCCGACCCGTCCGAGAAGGCGAAGGCTGAGGCCAGGGCTAAACGTTTCGGCGGCGGCAATTAGGATATGTCGTCACAAGGCGTTCTTTCCAGTGCTTCTGAGCAGATCAAGGCCGAGGCTAGAGGCCGACGATTCGGCAGCAGTGCCTACTACCAGCCGACGGGAAGCATCTTGGATGACCCTGTGGAACGAAAGAAAGCTGAGGTTCGAGCCAAACGATTCGGTGATGTCGAGTAAGGGGCCGCGCTGCGCTTCTCCCGATGGTTCCTGGTCTTTTGGGTCTGGCGGCAACAGCATACCGTCGGACGCCTTTGTCAGGCGAGCTCTCCGACTGGACCATGCCACGGGCCCGGCTCGGTGCGACGATACCAGATTTACGCATCAAGAAGGAGCAGCACCATAGGCCTCGTTGAGAGATGCCTTTGTACTTTAGAAGGATTATCACGACTAGGAAAGACGGCGGATTCTGTGGGAGTTCGGGTTTCGCTGGCGTAAAAGGACCGCGATTCATTTTTAAGAACCATGGACAGGATCAATGATTATACCCGTTACTTTACTTTGGCCCCGGCCTTTCCACAATGTCTCCCTCTGAGAGGAACCACCTTCATTTCCCCAACTACCCGTCATAAACCATTGCTATAATCGCCAACCAAGTCCTTGAGGCGGGACTCACATCAGAAATACCAAAAGCCGCTGGTGATGAATTACCGGGGTTGAAGAATCAGCATGGACCAGACCAAAGGTCGCGAGCTTCATCGATGCCCCATACCAATGGCGGGATCCAAGCCGCACCTTGACGCGGGAGGACGGGTGGTGAATCTATCCCATATCGTTGAATACGCTCATTGAATACGCTCGCATCGAGCAATGACAGAGCTCCCTCTCGCCTCCTGATCAGCAGCGAAAAGCTGCAGTCAGGTGAGGTCAGGTGCGGCTGAGCCACCAAGCGCAGAATGACGGGCGCTCGTGACGGCCAGCTTCAGCCAAATAACGGAAGCCGTCTGCTACCACTCTATGCTTGCGCAAGAGGGCCTCCGTATCCATTGGGAGGCGGTTGGCTACCTATGGCGCCCTCGGGATTCCAAAGGGGTCCCGGGGACCAGCTGGTGCCTTCTGTGCAATGAGCCAAATGGCACTTGACTTTCTTAACTCAGCGACCTCGAAGGGCATTCGCTGTAAAATTCAATCCCTTAGGCCTGGCTAGGGCGTGGATGACGGCTTTGGCGGCGCCTTGTCCACCTTGGGGACGGGTCACCCCGAGGAGGCAACCTCCACGATTCGAGATATGGCTGAATGCCTGTAGGACTCAAGCTCTGGCAAGGGCATTTGTGATGTTTCCAGGGCTGTGTCTTTCTCACCTACACGGAAGCAACCATGTTCTGTCCTCTCACATATTCGACCGAATCGGTTGGCTCTGCAGGCTTCCGCGATGCGGCCAGGAGGGAGCTTCATGGGTTACATCCCTGACAAACTTCAAGTCGTCAAAAGACTGGATCTGGTGACTTCATGTGATTTCAGCACAAACCGTTACTCACGTAGAACAGGCTGGGAATGATCGCGTGCCCGACGGAAAATTCGTACAGCTTTTCACGAGTGACTTCGAAGCTACTTCGACAGCTTTCCGCCCGTTCCGACGTTCCGATGCTCATCTGCTTCAGCTTGATAAGTTGAGCAAATGGCCACGACCTACGCCACTATTGATGAAACCCGGCATTCTGGGTTAATCACCTGGCAAGACGTGCGAAGGGCAGGCCGTGAATGCCCATCAACGAGTGCATTCACTGTCAATCTCTTTCCGTCGCATAGGATAAGAAAATGCCGACCAAGAATACGATCACACAACTAATTGCTGTTACGAACGCTAATCTTTGAGAGACGCCAAGCGAAGGGCAATAGGGACCTTGAGGTCGGCCACCAACAAGAAGGACCTGTTGAAGCCCTCGTGGGCGTGAATGCTGAAGCCAGACGGATACCCAGGGACTACAGGAGGTGTTCCAGAGAGGCCGAGGGACGCGGCGCCAGATCTAGTGGGCTTTGCGTATCCCACACTGTGAGTATATCAGCGTGAAATCCGTAATTCTCTCACGAAACCACGATGCCTCCGATCTCCCATATGTCGCGGGGGGCGCGGATACAATTTCCCTCGCTTGACAGGCCTGGACGGAAGTCATCTTACACGATGGAGTAGTACCCACGGCTTATTGACGTTCCTTCCAAGCAATAGCGAGTCGCTAGTTTGCGCTCGACGAAAATACCCCGTCGCTCATGTGAATCCATGTCGCAGCCTATGAGTAAGGCTGCAAATCCCGTGACTGCACACGCGGGCGGGCAAGTCGTGGGGAGCATGCAGGACTGGTGGACACAATTGCAGTCAAAGTCAAGTTTCTCCACCTGTCACAGCGGATCCTTAATATGCCTTGAGCAGAAACCACCATGGGAAATGACCAGAGTCTACTTTGTGAGTGCATGCTTGCCGTGTAGGCGCTGCCCACACAGGTCACATGTGGGATACGCAGTCGATCTCTAGAGTCGTTCTCAATCTCCGACCCAGGAGAACCGACATCGGACTCTTCTCTGTGCGAAAGCATCGCGCAGGAGGAACATCAGGATCCAGAAGGCCAACCGGCAGATGGGAGATTGGCACACAAATAGGTGCCATGCGCGCAGCAGGATACCACCGTTGGCCACAGACGATATGAGCGCAGGTGGGTAGATATGCTCGATCTCAATCTCAAGGGTGCCGAATCAGGTGACCCAACCTTCATGTGGTGCGCAAGCCTCGTCACGCAGCGACGTGCGTCCCTATCACACAAGTTCGAGAGAGAAGAGGGTGTAGTGTGGGCAGGGTGGGACATCCGTCGGCAGCGACTTATTTACCTAAGCGCTGGGTGTGGATCACCACTTGCATGCATGCAGCCAGCCCCGCAGCGGGGCGTCGTCGACGGAAGGGAATGTGGGCTGCCCACACCCTGTCTAGTCCGGATACTGTCTGTTGATGGCCGTTGGTGTGTGTATGGCAATACGATAGCCCTGGGGAAGGATGGTGGGCCTCGAGATGATGCTATTCGCAAGAAGGGTGTTGGTAATGGGAGTGTGGATACCCCCCAAACGTGCGGAAATGATCGGTGCCCACTCACACACCCAACGGCATCTGCCACAAGAAAACCCAGAGGAATCCCTGCCGGGGCCAGCTGAGGGCCCGGGACCTATCAAAGTGTTCAGATGGCGCATCTGAGATCTCATAGGCCACTAAGCGGCTGCTCCCATCTGCGGGTCGCCCCTTTTGGGTCAGCCGCTGTCAGAGCCAGGCAAGACCCGAACTGTAGGAGATTTGTTGACATGTGGGGAGTGATGAGGACTGATTGCGAATCTGTTTACTCTTGGCCAGCAGAGTGGATATGATGGTAGGAACCGCGCATGGACTGCCATCAGTCTCCACACGTGGAGGGCCATAATGTCTTGACTGCCGGCGTGCAGAGTATTGAGGGTAATCCAGCAGGACTTCCATATCCAGTAGTTCCACGCCTACTGGGCGCAACTGATCCCTCGCCTCACTTCAACATCCCGCCCAGTTTCACCCCCACGGCCCCAGCGTGGGAAAATGACCTCGGAGAAGACACGGTGACGCCAGGCTTCAGTCACCATGGAGGGGGGCAGGATGAGACTTCGGCGTGACTTCGGACGAGCCTGGACGGTCACGTTCCAATCCCCATATCGCATGAGGTTGTACCCATGGCATGCGGTCGCGCTTCGCTGCCGTGGAACACATGACCTCCAGATCTCTGGGAAACTCACCGCTCAAGGATAGGTTTCCTGGGTGTACAGAGACGATCATAGTCCAGCCCAGGGACCAGCCGAGCCGAGGTGAGGACGACCTGCGAACGTGTCTCAGACAGAGAAGCTCGGAGTGCGTGGATTGGCGAAAATGACGCATGGGCTGGACCCTGCTCACCGAGATTGTCCTCGTGACACCGGGCTGTGAAGGAGCGGCGGCAGCAGGAGCTGTACCACTCACTGCGCGCGCGAGAGGGGCCTCGTCTCATCCTTGGGTCCCGCTACTGCGGTCCATATTTGCCTCGCGATACACGGCAGATCAGGGCAGCGACGTTGCATTAAACGTGCTACAATTCTTTGCGGGAGAAAATTTGATGTTGCGGGTGGCGGTGGTCATCACAATGCCATATTGCGCATGCCTGGCCGGACTGAGTGAGGTTGAGCCTGTCCCCAGAATGACCACTGCTCGGGAGGACTCCAACAACGGGGACACCCATGCCCGGGCGCTTAAGTTCGGCTATCCAATGGATTGGGCTTGACAACCCCTGCTGGCGGGAGAGCTTATGAGTGGGGACAGGCCCCAGCTCGAGAGAGACCAGGATCGCCAGTCGAGATCTTGTTCTAGTTTTTCGAGGGGTTCGGGCCCTGGGAAGGGGCTGACAAGAGGAGCCGGACTCAGAGGATCAGGAGACGAAAATGCGCATGATGATGGCAAGACGTGTCATCATCTCAGAAGGGAGTTGAAACCTTGATTTCTCTTGCCTTGCCTCGCTGTTTCTCTGGATTTCCCCTGTGCCACGTCACCAGCCTCAGCCTGGTCAAGTTCCGGCTTTCAACTGTGGCGGAGCAGAGAGAAGGACCCCGGTAGTTGTCAACTTCTGGTACTACCATGCAGTGCACTCGCCACAACCCTCAACCCACTTTCGCCGGCTCCGACGGCGAACCCAGGCTCATGCAAGACGTGCACAAGTGCTGAATTGCCATGCAGCAGGGCGTCGTGACGGTACGGCAAAGCCTCTGATCTGCCTTAGTAGCTGCAATAAGGGTCCCATTTTTGCAACCGAGACTGCAGAGATTTCTTTGGTTTCTTCTGCCTGTCAGGCCTGCCTGCCTGCCCGTCTGCCTAGGCGCAAACGGCGTGTTGCCAGCGCATCACAGTTGCCACGGGCTATTGAACTCACTCAGCTTTCAGCTTGCCTTGCTCGCTTGGCCTGTCAGGCGTGGCATCCTGCGAACCAGATGGACCGGTACCTGCAGATCATGAGGCGTCGAGACCCATTCAGCATGGA